GGGTCATCACGGGCTCCTGGGGCCACCAAGGGCTCCTGGGGCCACTGTGGGATGGCAGCTGGGGACAGACAGCGGGACAGGGTCACCGTGGGCTCTTGGGGCCACCACGGGCTCCTGGGGCCACTGAGAGATGGCAGCTGGGGACAGACAGTGGGACAGGGTCACTGTGGGCTCCTGGGGCCACCAAGGGCTCCTGGGGCCACTGCGAGATGGCAGCTGGGGACACAAATGGGGATGGGGTCACGCAGGGCCAGCAGCAGGGACATGGTGGCCTCCTGGGGCCACTGCGGGATGGCAGCTGGGGACAGAGACATGGGGACAGGGTCAGGGGGCTCAGGGACACGCAGGGACTGAGGACAGGGACACACAGGGACAGAAAACAGGGAAATGCAGGTTCTGCCTCTGCCTCTCCAGCCCCTCTCCGGCCAGCGAGTGCTCGAGGCAGAGCAGGACACCCCATATCGCCCTCGATGACCCCATAACCCCCATGCAACCCCCTCAATGAGCCCCCCGAGCCCCTCACCGGCACTGTTGGCCTCGGCCTCGCGCCGGTGGATGTCGGGGCAGTCCTGCAGGGAGTGCTCGAGGCAGAGCTGCAGGAACCGGGCCTGCGTCCTCGTGACCCGTTTGAGCAGCGCCAGCAGAGCCACCGTCTGCTCGCACTCGCTCCAGCCCCGGAACCACCCGGCCACGATCCCCACCTGGTCCCGGAACATCATGGCTGGGGGGGCGCTGGGGGGGCCCTGCCCCCCCTCAGGTGCCGGGGGGGCCCCCCCGGGCCGGGCAGCGCATGGGGGGCTGTGCGGGGGGGTCCCGAGGGCCCCCCGGCTGCGATGGTGCCGCGGGACCACCCCGGAGGAGCCTGGGGGGGGGGGGCACAGGGGGGGGGTTAGAGGGGGGGGTGTGGGGTCTGGGACCCCCCCCACGGGCAACAGGGACCCCCAGACAGGACGAGGGACCCCCAAAAGGTTCCTTCCCCGAAGGGGACAAGGACACCCCACCAAGGACAGGGACCACCCCCCCCTCCAAACCAGGGACCCCCCAAAGGGGACTGAGATCCCCCCACTGGAAACAGAGACCCCCCCACGAGGGACCAGGGACTCCCCCCGCTGGGGACAGACACGCCCGAATGGGGACAGGGACCCTCCCCACGACCCCCCGCCTCGGGGCACAGGGACCCCCCAGGGTGGGGACGGGGACCCCCCAACAGGGATCAGAGAACCCCCCCCCCCCGCTCGGGGGCCCCCCCCCAGGACCGGGGGACCCCCGTGAGGAACCAGGGACCCCGCAGGACCCCCCCTGTGCACCGGGACCCCCAACACCCCCTCAGCACGCCCGTACTCCCTCTCCCCCTCCGCCCCCCAAACGTTTCCCCCCGGGACCCCCAAACCCCCGGTTGGGGGGGGGGGGGGGAGGGCGGGGGGCGCAGGCCCGGCGGGGCCGGGGCCGGCCTGGGGCGCTGGGGCGGAGTCGAGGGTGTCCCGGGGATGCCCCGGGGGTGTCCCAGGGTGTCCCGGGGGGGTTTGGGGGTTCCCGGGGGGTCCCGGGGGGGTCCCGGGGGTCGCGGCCGCCCCTCACTCACCGCCCGCCGCCGCCGCGCAACGTCAGCGCGCACGGCACGCACGGCACGCACGGCGCGGCGTGGCTGCGTCACCTCCCGCGCGGCCAATGGGGGAGCGCGGAGCGGGCGCGGGGACAGCGCGAGCGCGGCCACGCCCCCGCCCGGCGGGAGGACACGCCTCCCGCCGTGGTTCGACCAATGGGAGCCTCAAGACGCGGCGCTGACCACGCCCCCTGTCTGTCGATCAGGAGGTCGCGCTCACAGCTGCATTAGGCCACGCCCTCCCGCTCTGGCCCCGCCTCCACGTTTCGCGCGGGGCTTGAAGGGGTGGGGCCTGGCGGGGGCGTGGCTTGAAGGGGCGGGGGCGGGGTCCGGGCACCTCCCCAGTGTGTCCCAGTGTCCCCCCAGTTTGTCCCAGTGACCCCCCATTGTCCCCCAGTGTCCCTCCTCGAGTGTGTCCCAGTGTCCCCTCAGTTTGTCCCAGTGACCCCCCCATTGTCTCCCAGTGTCCCTCCTCGAGTGTGTCCCAGTGCCCCTCCGGTGTGTCCCATGTCCCCCCAGTGTCCCCCATTATGTCCCAGTGCCCCTCCAGTGTCCCCCCCAGTTCCCCCAGTGTGTCCCAGTGTCCCTCTGGAGATGGAGGGACAGACAGAGCACGGAGGGCAGATCCTGGCCCATTCGTGTGTCCATGTGTCTGTCCGTGTGTTCGTGCCTGTGTGTCTGTGTCTGTGTGTCTGTGTGTCTGCGTGTCCATCCGTGTGTCTGTCCGCGTGTTCATGTCTGTGTGTCCATGTCTGTGTGTCCATCTGTGTGTCTGTCCATGTGTCTGTGTGTCCGTGTCTGCGTGTCCATCCGTGTGTCTGTCCACGTGTCTGTGTCTGTGTGTCCGTGTCTGTATGTCGGCCTGTCTGTGTGTCCATCCCTGTGTCCGTATCTGTGTGTCCGTGTGTCCGTGTGTCAGCCCACGAGTCGGTACACGGGTCAGTCCCTGTGTCCGTGTGTCTGTGTGTCCGTGTGTCCATGTGTGAGTCCGTGTGTCGGTACACGGATCAGTCCCTGTGTCCGTGTGTCCATGTGCCTGTGTGTCTGTCCGTGTGTCTGTCCGTGTGTCCATCCATGTCTCCGCGTGTCCGTGTGTCCGTCCATGTGTTGGTCCACAAGTCAGTCCGTGTGTCCGTGTGTCTGTCCGTGGGTCTGTGTGTTGCTCCATGGGTTGGTCCACGGGTATGTTTATGTGTCCCTGTGTCCGTGGGTCCATCCCTGCGTCCGTGTGTCCGTGTGTCTGTCCGTGGGTCCATCCCCGTGTCTGTGTGTCTTTTATGGGTCCATCCCCGTGTCTGCGTGTCCGTGGGTCTGTCCGTGTGTCTGTCCGTGGGTCCATCCCCGTGTCTGCGTGTCCGTGTGTCTGTCCGTGGATCCGTCTCCGTGTCCGTGTGTCTGTCCGTGGGTCCATCCCCGTGTCCGTCCCTCCCCTCCCCTCCCTCCCCGCCCCGCCCGGCCCCGCCCCGGCGCTTCTGCGGCTCCAGCGGCGGCCGCGGCCTTTGGGGCGGCGGGTCCGGGGCTGCTCCGGGGCCCCCCCGGCCTGGGGACCCCCCTCCCGGGACCCCCCTCCCGGCACCGACACCGCGGCCCCCCCCGCAAATCCCAGGATCCATTCCCGAATCCATCCCGGATCCACCCCGGATCCATCCCCGGATCCATCCCCGGCTCCATCCCCGGCTCCATCCCGGTCCCTCCCGCCCTTCCCGGGATCCATCCCCGC